CGGGGCATGTGCTAGAAGACAAGTCGTTTACTATCATGTCAAAATATTTCTGATTGCAGTAATTTTGAACGTTCTAAGTAGAAATTTATGCTCACGTGCTTGAAGTCAAGGCTGCGATGTGATCAAAGATGTCACTCAGAGAGCAGCCAATGGGGTGCGTACTTAGATCCGACGCCGAGAACGACGTAACGGATAGTACAGGCAATGAAGACCACTTGTGACAATGATTCTGAACAGTTTTTTGCTTCTCCTAGCGATGTACAGCTTTCACTGTAAAAAACAATGTTTCGCTTCCTATTAAGATGCTGCAAACTTCATTTGGGTGCAGACATTGCGTGGGACACTCCGCGCCCCAAGGCTAGTCCCGCGTAGGGACAGCCAAGCCGAGCTTGGCAACTCGTTAGCGGGCACTCTGTGCGGCCTTGGTTTGGTCGTCGAGTTTGGGGCTGCGCAAAAGCGCTGCCCTCCTGTCCTCGCTGAAGAAATTTTTAGAGGCTTGAGCTCCATATGGTCTAGAGCAGTCCATCCCTCCGGCGTAGCCAGAACAGCATATCCACTGACAGACAGACAGACAGACAGACAGACAGACATACAGACAGACAGACAGACAGACAGACAGACAGACAGACAGACAGACAGACAGACAGACAGACAGACAGACCAACGGATGGACGGATGGACGCATCGCCCCACTCATCATCGTTCACTCCGTGGATATGCTGTGATTTTTTTTTAAGTTAATTGACTTGCTACGACTAGTGTTAACAAATAGGTTGATTTCATGAAAGGCGTTCTTTCTTCTCTGTCACGTACTTCAGCAATGAGTTTTATGTAATGAAATCAAGTTAAAACAAATAAGGGACATAACGAAAGGTTGTCAGGTTGAGATGCTCAAAGGAAAAAAAAAAAACCTACTGCTGAAATCAAAGTTACCACGAAAGTTAATTAGCTGGCTATGGAATGCCGTTTTAATACACACACCGTCGTGTGCAAGTGTACTGACGCGCAGTTGTAATTCTATTTAAAAGAACAATATCTACAATCGAAGCTTGACAAAAGTTTCTATTATTGCATTCGTCACCGCATGAAGTGCACTGCTTTGTTCAGTTGATTATTGATATCATTTTGTTTCGTCCTGCTCCAGGCAACTGAAACTCTAATCATTGTACCAAAATATTTAAACTTGCAGCATCAGGGTTCATCATATTGACCTTTCACATACGTTAGGAGGTGCATTGACGCAATCAACTTAAACGTGCGAATACTGACGAAACCGCATCCACGTGAAACGAAATAAACGTCTTGTATCATAGTACCTGTTAGTCACGTATTTAAAAATACCTCCTAATATATTGAGCTGTAACTGCTGATTGTTCGAGCGGCTGAATTACTTCACTCTCCCAATGTTTCTCGAGCGACGTCAATAGTTGCGTGCCCGATGCATTCAATAAGGCGCGGCCTACTACGTTGTACGGCTCCGCCGCACGACAATGACGCGCTGGGATGCGTCCAATCGTTTACAAGGAGGATAACGAAACGGACTGAAAACAAGCGCCACAGAAACGCAGCTTCCCTTAACACACGTCACGACCTTCAAAGCTGCGATGGCAGTGGCCGTGGAGAGGATCGTATAATGCATAAACAACACCAAGTAAAGAATAAAAAAAGAAGAATTCTCTATCTGAGCAGGAACTGCAGCGGTAATTGTTGGGACTCCAAACGCTCGAAGTGGGGGTCTAGAATTAAATGAATGAGTTGGCAGCATGGCTTCGCATATGTAGTGAGCGACCGGAAACCGGTTGGCCCACGTCACGGCAAAAACGTCGACTAGTGTAGATGGGACTGAGGAGCATTGCACGCGGGAAAGCGTTTGTTGCGTGCCACTGAATCGAGCGTGTCTGGGAAGGCCCCGAGAGTGGCACCCGCTGGGACCAACGCCGTTTAAATGTGCGCAGTGGGGAAGTCGTTGGGCGGGTTCACTTTGCGGGCCAAGATTGCGCGTGCTCCAGAAGATAATGCCTTTCCGGTAGCATAGAATAGGCAGCGTTGCTGAGTTACCCTAGTTTCTAGCACGTGTTTGACACAACGGCCGAGTGGACGATGACCTTGTCGTGTGAAAGGTGGTTGCCCTTGTGGTCGTTCTCGGAGTGCCTAAGAGAAGCGATTTGTAAACAGAGCAAGTGTGTTGTAAGGTGCCACCTAGCAAGGAGTAGACTTGTCGGTCTCTTTCGGACTCCTAGCTTACAGACAAGTGTGCATAGATGAGCAGTTGTGGCTTAATCAGACTTGTACACGCTACAGAAATTGAAGAACCAATCTCAAAACAGTTGCATGTTATTGGATGTTATTGTTTACTTGTGACGCATTACCTAAAATTTTGATATTTGTATGCTGCTTAAAACTGCATTGAGTGTATATATCGATATGAATGTAAGGCAAAAAAAAAAACAACTTGTCATCCACGTACTCTGACAGCACAAAACATGCCTGGTTGACTTTTTCAAGTCCAAGTCTCCCGGTCGACGCATGTTTTGTGATCTAGTGTGCACATTTTAGTGACTCAATCACTTTTATATCGATTTTTTTTAAGATGGTTAATACAAAACTCTTAGAGATGTTCACTTATTCCCGTTGTGGTTCTTGCAGTATTACAGTTATTGCAAGTAAATTCATTTTGAATCTACGTAAAAGTTTCATTATGCCGCTTTTCAAACATTTCGTTTAACACTATTTAACATGATAACCGTGTTATAAGTTTCTCCTGCGCTCTGAATATCACTTGTGTAATAAGTTTACATTCTGTGCAAGATGACAGCATCTGTACTGCATGTTATTTTGTGCGAACTGTAGCACTCAGTTATTTAGTGTTACTTATTCTAGTCCGGTAAAAGCCCATTGAGGTTGAAAGCATCACTGCGTAAGTACATGAATAAACGTAGTAAAAGATTCAGAGCAAAATAGCCCACCAGTTTTTTATCGTCAAGTGCACAAGGTGATATTACACAAAATGAGTGACGTGCAATGTCGAGGGAATGGAATGACTTGGAGAAATTATTCGAAAAAAAATGATTGATTGATATGTTTGGTTTAACGTACCAAAACCACTATATGATCATGAGACACGCTGTAGTGGAGGCCTCCGAAAATTTTCACTACTTGGGGCTCTTCATTAAAACTTGAATCCAAATCTGAGCACCCAGGCCTACAGCATTTTCGCCTCCATCAAAAATGCAGCCACCGCAGCCGGGATTCTATCCCGTGACCTGCGGGTCAGCAGCAGAGTACCTTATCCACTAGACCACCGCGGTGGGGCAGCAGAAAAAAAATGTGTTCATTATTATTATTTAAGGTGAGTAGGTTAAAACAAGATGGCTGAAATTTTCGTGAATGTGGAATTGGGAAAAAAGCTGTAAAAGACAACCAGTCTGCACAGAACGCTTCTGCAGCATGTAGGCGAAAAATATTTCAAAAGTCAATAACGCCTACGATAGCTGCTGAACGATTTGAACGTCAGATTTCCTGTTACTGGAAGCTCAACAACAACATTAGCATTGTAAAGTGGTGTTCAATACTTTTGAGGTAATCTTCAGGATCTAGAGAATACATTTTTTGTTTATTTTTAGTCTGGTAGCAGCCACTTTTAAGCATGCCATTTCTTCGAAAATCAAGCCTGTACATTCGATTCCGTCGTAAATTTCAGCACGACTACCGTCGTAGTCGTGTTGAAATCTGAACAACAATTATTTGCACATTTTAGTATTACAATGCAAACACAGCTGGCTCGTGGCTGTTTCAATACTTACTTCATAACTGTAAACGGCCTAAGAATAACAATCAGCGTTGGAATTTTACGCGTTGAAATCGTGGTATGAATATTACGAATGCAATAGTGGATGGCTACCACAATTTGGACCACATTGAGTTTCTGAAACATGCACCTACATCTCAGCACACGCGGCTCAAACATTCTCGATTCCATCAATGAATGAATACCACAACCGGCGTTATCCCTATAAAAAGCTAGCCTGTTTGTTTAACATATAAAATGTGCTTCGAAGTGTCGGTAATATTGCGATTGTTGTGTTCGGATCGTTGTTTTATTTATTTATTTATTTATTTATTCCTCAAAGGTCCCATAGGGACATTACATGAGGGGTGGGCATAACACGGCACTTGAAAGAAGGGTAACAACAAGGTAACGGCAACAGACTATGTACAGAAGTTATGGCGGCACTTCTATATAAGGGGTGCGGCACAATACTAGAAAGGAGGGTTACAATACCGTAGCGACAGCAACAGAATGGGTACATTAATTATGGGGGCACTACAATGGCGTGCTTGAAACGAGATTGGTCCATGATGGTAGCAACTTACATCTCACATATCTTATACATCTCACATATCTGATGAACAAAACTTTCTACTAGTGCATCACTTGTCTCTTACAGCAGATTAAGTGTCCCGCAATGTCACAAGACAAACTGGGAGCATGACGGCTATTGAGATGGTCGTCATCGCGACGTTCATGTTGATCAGTTTTTCCTTGCGCGTCCTGGATGTCGATGGAAGATTGTGTCATAACACGAAAATAAATACATTTATATCTTAAGATTTCAAGTTAGGACTGTAACAAGGGACAAAAGTGTCCATGAAGTAAACTTTTCTACAGCTTTTGTTTTCCAAGAAAGGACCTGAGCCCGAAAGAACGCTGACACAAAATAAGGGAAGGGTAAGGGAGTTGCTCGGCTGCATGCTGACAATGCTTGACTTTTTTGTGTTACGTTCACATACCCTCTATTTCGTGCACAAGTTGCTTCATTCGATTTCACACTCTTTTGGTATCTCATTTTTCTTGAGCGCTGCACGCAACTGCTGAGGTCAGACGCTGCCTTCAACTTCCCGGAGAAGCGACACCCTCGCCCGTCCGGAGACGTCGAATCGGGCGCGTGTGTGCCGGAGCCGGACGTTGGAGGGTACAGCGCGGCGAGAGTTCGCAGGCCCTGTGGTGGGGGCTTGGCGCAACGACGCCACTTGTGTCTGCGCCACACTTCAGGAGTTCTTCGTGCGCCTCCCTCGCGGGCGCACACCTACGTGTACAGTTTGGCCTTTCAAGGCACAGAAAGTGTGAAAACTGTGGTGTTTTGACTCAGCAACAGCGTCTTAGTCGTCGTATGGCACTCTGGAATGCCATCTGCTAATCAAGACAGGCTTCTTGCCCCACACGTTGACTGAGTTATCTCATGCCTTTGCGGAGGTTCCGGTGAAAGTGTCGTGTTCTGGTGTGACAGTGCGAAGACAAAAAAAGAGGAGTGCTGACCGCCAAACCAGTGGTGCGAAGAAATTAGCGGCATTCCGTGACAGTTGCGGTCGTCAGAATAACGGAGAAAAAATATTTCTTGAAACAGTACGGTAAAGTCACCAAAGACCACAGTGGATTTGTGAAAAAAAAAAACGTTAATGGTGTTTTTCTTCACGACGGGAAAAAATGTAGGGACAAAGCGGCAGAAGTGAAAAGTTCAACGGCGTTTGGAAAGCTTATTCCGCAATGCATGAATCGGTAAGTAGCTTTGTTATGCAAAGCAGCATGGTACTGGTAAGCGTTCTAACTTGTCCGCCAAACACTAATTTGTTCACGCAGTATGAATTCATGAATTTCATCATGGTAGTTGATACCACAACATCAATGGCATAATAAACGAACGATTGGACTGATTCGTTAATTCGTCCAATCGGGTCCTAATACTATTTCGAACTCTTTTGAACGGTGATTGCGAGACAGCGTATATAAAAGTAGCAAATTCGAAATTTCCCGTTCATTGTAAGATACTGTAGTAATTCGTATGAGAGCACAGAGGAGCCTCCAGGTTACCGTGACAAAACCCTGCTGTAAAAGTCTACGCTATCCGCTCCTTCCCTCTTTCCCTTTTCCCATACCTCCCTCACTTTTTTTTCCAAATGCTTTGCTACTATATACAGCAAAAACATCCTCTGCTTGATACTGCTTGCACATACCACTGTATGAGGCGTATAGATTATATTATACAAGGCTATGCAATGCGGTGCCTTCTACCAACCTTTCTCTGTCCCACCTCCTTGCTGTACTGTATACCATGCATGGCTATGCTGAGCTGCTTGGCACATAAACACAATGTTTTTCGTGTTTCTTCATAGGATTTTGCCAAGTGTATTGAGAAACAGCGGAGTATTCTGTGTATCGAGATAGGGCGATGTCGTAATCTAACCTGTTTCGCTGCTGTCGCCATAAATAGATGCAGGTTAATATACAACACTCTCCCATAATTCCCGTTAAGAGATGCGATTATGTTGTGTTGCGATGGCGACAATTTCGCCCAGCTTCAAAGAAGACATTGTCTCAGCTAGGTCAATCGTAGCGCTTGCCGCATTCTTAATAGAACAGAACGTTAAACGAACGTCATCATATCCCAAATAACATATCTAAGCAAAGCGTGCTTCTTCCTCTATAGCTATGTGGGAAGAGGGCACAAGGCCTACCAGATTGAGGGAGCAAAAATTATTGTGAGGGCCCACTCCCAAGGCTGGGCCCTCACATGTAATGTGTAATTTGGCCATCAGAATATTCGATACTGGGTTCTAGGCTTTTAACTTGCTGTTTAAAGATGTCCCTGAATGGTGTTCTTAAAATGAGGTACGCTGTACGGGTTACACGTGGCATTGATGGCTACGCCACGACAAGGTCCCGAAAGTAGAAAATAACAAAAACATATAAAGTAAAAGAATCAGCCGTAATGCATTGTGTGCTTCAATTGTGCACGCAGCTCATATACCTCATACGACTCCATACAGATAAATACCATTAAAGTTTTTTCGGCGCATATAATGGTATTCAGGTCCCAGCAATGGTGGCAAAATTTTATGCACGAGCCTGAGGCGAAAATGCTTCAGGCCCATACACGCATATTAAGGTAAACTTTGATAAACAGCAGTTGATTAAAACTTCCTGAGCCTTCTATTAGGCGTTTCTCATAACCATGTCGCGCTTTGGAGACGCTAAACGCAATTGAATATTATCAAGGCATTCAGACATTGCCTGTTTTTCAACATCTGCAAACACACAGTGTGGGCATTACGCTTATTGTCATGTTCACAGCTTTCAAAATGTCAAATAATTGAGTGACTTCTGTGCATCAGCCGACTGTTACAAAATATGTGAAATGCGTCCCATCATTTAATACAAGATACAGCGCAATGCGAGTTCATTTTGTTTTTGGCAAGCTGTGCACGACTTCAAACTTTCGTAAAGTTATAAAAAGCTTGTCAGTGCATCAGCAAGTTGTAGTACGTTGCAAAATAAAGAAAAACTCATAAAATAGTAAAAGCACATTATGTAGCTGTTCAAGTAAACAAACACACAATGTGTGAAAAGCAGCAACGGCCCGCGAAATAAAATGTACTTTGGTAATTTACATGGCCGATGGTGGGCTCGGGAGGGAATACGTGTGGCTCCGCTGTCGCAGGCGGGCCAATACACCTAGGGTGCGCTGTCAAACATGGCGAAAGCAGCGATTGTAAATTACAAAGCTTCATATAAATTCTGCAGGTACTAGGTGCATAAATCACTTTTTAGGCTGACTCATTATTCCTTTTCTAGGTTGATACACTGAGAACTGACGGCGAAAATATTACCTATCAACATTTTTCTTTCTATTTGTGCTTCTGCTGACACTGCTGTAGTGATTTCTGAAAAAAAAAAACCAGTACATTTTTCTGCAAATGAATGCTTCATAGAGACATAATGGAAAATTATATTTCGAGCCTAAAACGTTGATTGATATGATATGTGAGGTTTAACGTCCCAAAACCACCAAATGATTATGAGGAACGCCGTAGTGGAGGGCTCCGGAAATTTCAACCACCTGAGGTTCTTTAACGTGCACCCAAATCTGAGCACACGGGCCTACAGCAATTCCGCCTCCATCGAAAATGCAGCCGCCGCAGCTGGGATTTGATCCCGTGACCTGCGAGTCAGCAGCCGAGTGCCTTAGCCGCTATTCCACCGCGGCGGGGCAATTGTAGAGCAGAGTGGAGAGAGTCTAAAACGTCCTAGCGGAGATGCACTCATGTATTTTCTTTTGCAATAGTGCCAGTCCTGCTTAAATTATAATATATCATTACATTTAGGTCTTCTGATTTCTTGCCAACAGCTTTAGTTTGCAGTTGACTAATTTGTTATGTTGATAATTACTTTCATGAGGGCGGATAACTCCCCGGCTCACTTGTATTTTCTTTCGGGGGGGATGGGGGGTGGAATAATCAAAAAGCATTCCCGGTATAGGAGTTCGAACTACTTCTGTATGCGTATTCGTTAACGCGATATTCTTAAGGAGCTCGCTTTTTAAAAATTTCAGCGTCGGCGTTGGTGTCACCGTCATTGGTTGTTAGCCAAACATCATCATCTTGTGTGTGACCGAAAAATCAAGAGGGAAACGAAATGAACAGTAAAAAATTCTGGGTCTGGGTGAGGTATGAGCCCGGGTCGTTAGCGGGGAGAGCGTGTGCTCTACTACAGAGCCACGCATCTGATTGAAAACACTGTGAAAATAAGTTTCTCTTCTTGGAAATTCAGTGAAAGCAATTTGCATGCATTACAAACACACGCGTTTTGCGTGCATGTTTCAAAATGAAACATGTACCATCACGGAAATACTCCATTGTATAAGCGTACGTTGCGGTCAGTCGTCCGAACGCTACTATCAACACATCATGGTTTAAAGCAGCGCAAGCACTACAAAAGGCACACATGTTACTGCACCCTCCCCTTTATTGCTACATTTTGAGCGCATAGCAAGCTTGTAAATAGTCCACGCGACAATTTCCTGCAGTTCAAAGCATGCTACCCATTACAAAAAATGCAGCCGTATGTGAAAGCTTCACTTACACAAGCCATGTTTAACTGAGTAGACACAAGAGACAGGATATCGCTATCGCGTTCAGCTCTCAAAGGGGCACTCCACTAGTCAACCTCTTGTACTTTATTCGTGGATTATGTAGACAGAAGTACATACAGAATAATTCATCAGAAACGACAGTGATAGCGGCACGAAGTCTGCAGTCATTCGACTTCGAATGTTCTTCAAAATACAAAAAAAATGCCTACCCTCAACTCGACATTTGCAGGGTCACTTGACCACCACTCGTTCGCCAGTGACGTCGAAAAGTTGCTTCATTGAAATAAGCTTGGACCGCCTATGTAGATGAAGCTCGCACCACATTGTTGCTTATTTTTTTAAACTAACGTTGACCTTGTGGCCAGTGTACTACAAACATGGTGCCTGGCGCCTGGCTGGCCAAAACGTGAGCGGGAGCTGTGTCGGAGTAAGGTATTTTCTGCTCTTTTATTACAACAACCAGAATCACTTCCTCTTCTTATTCTGAGAAAAGAACTCGTGGAACGACCAGGACAGTGAACTAGTGTTTACTCATCACGCGTTGATTGGCGAGCCACCCGACGAACAACAATGGTGCACTGCAACCCTTCAACAGCGCAAGTGCGGAAAATCTGGCAAACTCCTAAACGCAAGAATAGTGAAGAAAGAGAAAGAGGTCTTTCCTATGAATATCCCACCCGCAAATTCAGCGGTCAAAAATTCAGCGGTGAATTGGCAGCCAACGTCTGTGTCGTGCTTTGTATAGTCGCAGTCGTCTTTTTTTGTTGTGGCTGCGTTTTTTCAGGGTTCAATGAAGAGCGCAGAGAAGAAAAGCGAGGCAGATTAGTAACCTTACTTTTCATTCTACACCACGATCCCGTCTAACATTGCATTTATCCAATCATAAGGCGGTAACCTTCAGGCGTCCTTTCCGCCCGTAAAGTTCTGATGTGCGTCATTACCTAGCGATGCGGTCGGCAGCGATGTAGGGATTTCAGTGCGTGAATAAAATACTAAATCATAATATATCGGAAATTAGACCTAAGCTGCAATCACCTCCAGTTATCAGAACACAGAACCAAAAATAAAAAGAGCTGCTTCAATAGTGTTGGATGGCCCTTTTAAAGGCGAAGCTTAAGAGTCTCTAAATTCTTTTTTATGTAGGAACGAGCTGAGGAAGTAGTGCACAGTCGGAGTCGCGAACCAAACGACGACGTATCTTTTGGTTTTCGTCTGTTGCAGAAAACTACACCATCAAAAAAACTACAGAAAATTGGTGGATCCGAAGTACAATTGATGATAAGTGGAGCGTGAGTGAGTAAGGTTGATATGTCAGTTTAAATTCAGCAAAATATCACAAGGCAGACGTAAATAACGCCGTACATGACTTTTATGTTAGGGTCTGTCGCTTCTGTTCGCCACGTAGTCATGCCTTACCATTACAGTTTCCCAACATACCACGTGAACAAAACCACTGCAAGATCTGCAGCACCATGAACTAGAAATCATGACATTTATGACATACATATCATGATTTTCATGTTATGACTAACCACTTATGCTCGTCATACAGTCTTATTTTGCCATACGACTTTTTGTATAGGTACCATTATCGAAACGCCCACGAGATGTAAAAGCCGCAGGTGGCTGGATGGATAGATAGATAGATAGATAGATGGAAAGATAGATAGATAGATAGATAGATAGATAGATAGATAGATAGATAGATAGATAGATAGAGTTGAATTCACCGAAGTTCGCTAAGAAGTGCTTCGCATTTAGAGCTTGCGTTTCATGTTTGTGTATTCACTAGAGACTCTATACGTGCGTCCATTGAAAGTTATTATATTTACCAGCAGGCCGTAAAATGTGACAACGCGCGCTATATCGGAAGCCATCAGACTATGCGCTCGTTAACAATTAGGAGTTAACTATACAACAAATCTTTTTATTTATATTCTAGACGCTGAAACGACACGCTTCTTGTCCAAAAGGCAATACGTGCTTTTTCTCAAATGGGATTCGAGATATGTGCATTATAAATGGTGTGTAATCTTTCCACCTAAGAGCAAGGTCAATCATTGCCGCGAGTATGTGCGATAAAAGTCGGAACGCTGCTTCCACGTGAGATAGGTGTCCGGCGATGGTTAGCTGTGTGCCAATATAGAGAAAATGCTTTTACAGGTTGCGAACTTTTTTGTTCATGTTTTCGTTCAGACTTTTTTCATATTTCTGTATTTAAACGCCTGCCGTCTTTTATCCTGAAGAATTAAGCTTGCAAATATTTGTACGAAACACTAGTTTTCAGTTTTGTGACCTTTTTATGGCTTACTCAGTGTAATGCAGGGTAGGTGTTATTTGCTTGTTCAGAAGCCACTGATGGTTCGCGAAGTACTTGAATAGGTTTGCTAACGGCTATGCTAGATAAGTATTGAGTGCACTTGGGTCTGCTTCAATCGATATTAGCAGACGCAAGTGCAGTGCCGGTGGTTGCTTCTGGTTCAGAGCCAGCAGGCTTACGAAGTCGCAGCACTCAGCACTTTCACCACTCACTAGCGACAAGAAACGAAGAACAGGAACTCGAGGTAAACGGCGGACTACTTGACCACAGCTGCTACTGACTCCTGCGCTCTCTTCTTCTGTCGCGACCTAATTATGACAACAATATCTACAAGCCTTCTCTCCCATACATGCACAATACGGACAAACATTGCTCAAGTAACATCACTACTTCTGTGAACATCGCCTAAATGAAACATTCATCGAAAGCATTATCTGTATCATCAGCGCGTAAAACAGATAAGGTCTAGCACACACTTTTAGAGGAATAAAATGGATGGCAAATGGATTTAATTCACTGAGCATTGTATGTCCCCTAGTGGAAATAATAATACTGTAACGACACTGTAAAATAGCGCAAAACACGTGGCCACAGAAAAAAGGCGACACAGGCAAGCAACTGACCAGAAAGCAGTCAAGTATGTGAAGTCACCAACTGAATGAAAGACAGCTTGTGAACCAAAGAAGACAAAATTTTTTGAGATCCCGTATGAGCTGACTATCACATTGTCTAAAAATACTGGCAATAAATACAATGTGAATTAATATGTTCCGTGAGAGGAAAACTTATCCGGGTGTGACCCGTGGTTGAGTGTGCGTACAACAAAGAAAAAATGAAGTTTCTTAGAAGATGTTACATGCGCCAAACCAATAGGTTGCAGAATGCAACAAGAAATACATATAATTTGCCAGTGTGATGCGGTCGCACATACGTGAGAAGGTTGGGACGGTGCAAAAATGTTCATCTTTGTGAACACCTTTCACAGACCAGCAGCGACCTGTTCTTTCATGCACAGATTGGAAATTTACCTCCTGTTTTCATGACAATACCGTAAGAATTCAAAGCTGTAATCAAACAGTGAGAGAGGGAGCTGCCTAAGCTAGCATAGCATAGCAACTTTAGGTGATAATAGCAAAGGCCAATCATCTTTCACCCTGTCGTATAAGGATCCAGGATTTCTGGCGTTAGGGCTCTAAAATGACAAAGTGAAAGTGCTGATTATTATTTTATATTTTTTCTTTTGTTGGACAGGGTCATCAGACATGACCAGTTGTTTTCTTGTATATGCGTTCTATTTCCAAAAAAAAAAACCAACAGCAATTGAAAGTATAACCACCGTGCACTCTTTTCTCTGTGACCATGTGTTTTTGCCTTGTTATACAATGCATTACCAAGTAGCTCTGCTGTCTGTACGACTGCAAATGTGTTGCAAATTCTGCTGTAATTACCGGTCACACAATAGTTACTGCAATTGTTGCACAGTCTTCATTTGCAAAAAGAGCGTGATTTTCAGACACAGCGAAGTAACAACTAAAATGCTTATTCGCGTTCATCTCTACATGTGAGTACGTTTCATTCGTTGTTTGTGCGTGAAAACGCGGGGCACATTTCGATCTGATTTCTATTCTGTGCGTGACCTTCTAATTTTTTGCTCTCGTGTTCATTGCTTTCCGTTGTGGCAAAGCTGTGACTTTTTATTCACTTATTCTGTACTCTGAGAAAGCAAATACTGGCTTTTTATAACATATTTATTCGACTGACTATTCTGAAAGACCTCACCATGTTAACTAAAAGCACGAGAACCATGCTAACACTGAATTGTAGATTCTCCTCAAGCCTGGTTTCGCTCAGGCTAACTTTGCAATTTTATACAAGCGACCACTTACGGTGTACTTCGTTAAGAAGCTTCGATTAGGTAACAATTTTTTCAGCTTAGAAGTCCTTTAAAGTTTAATAAATTTCACTTGAAGCAAGTAAAACTTCCATGCATCATAAAAGAGGGTGATGATGGAGTGGTACTTTGAGGAACAATCAGGCGAACAATGTAGCACTTGACTTTCATAAAGGGCAGCATCAACGCGTGTGCGATATACAGTCAATTGTGGTGCGAGATTTCATGCCTTTACCCTAATGTTCTGGTATTTTAAAAGTAGAATTAGTTATTTTCCAGAGCTCCAACGTTCTCTTATGTACTACGGAAAAAGTGTTTATTGTATTCCTTCTTCACGCATTTGCTAATGAACAACAAAAAGATGATTATACGCAATGACCGGGAGCAACGCAATTGACAATAGAAGTGAGTTGCTTTGTATTCAGATTCACTTTCTCTTTCAGATTACGGAAACATTCAAGGACCATGGCACATAGAGACACAATGAAGGATACTTCAATCTACATCGTCTGGTTTGTCTTGGTCAATGCAGCGCTGTCGGCCGTGTCTGCCGACTTCGAAGCAAGCGAGGAATCTTGCAACATAACGTTGCCATGGACAGTGTTGAGAAAGGCCTACGAGGATGTCACAGACTCTATTTTTGGCACTCTAATGCAGTGCCCGCAAAACCTACACGGATGCTCAGATGATCTCATCAGCTGTATTCCAGCCACGTACACAGCCACATGTTCATGCGCACCGAACTGCCGGTTATACAGGGACTGCTGCTGGAACGTCCCTTACCGGGAGCTGGCGGAGGATGAGCTTCCGAATAGTTCGTGTGTTGAAGTGCAGATAGGATCTTCGTGGAAGAAGTTCATCTATATGGTGACCGGATGTCCACGGGCGTGGCCCGATGACGCAGTGCGCGGCAAGTGCGAAATGGCGGACACGTTTAACGACACATTCTACTTCATTCCTGCGACAAGCATGGGGCACGTCACTTACAGGCAAGTAGTACTGGGTTCTTTTTTTAGCCACAACTGGTTGTTTACACCTGCTGTTTCGTGTCAAAATATTAGTGACATGTTTACGCAGTACGTTTACGGATAAAATTTCACATATAACACTGGCCGCGTGATTGGCTCATGACTGAAATGCCGTCAAAGGAATGCAGATCCTTTGTTCGTCTGAGGCTACGGATGTAATCATGGTTCTCATGGTAACTAATACCATAGGGCGTAAAAAAACTGCCAGACACAAGACAAAAAAGGGGGGGTGTACAAAAACTAGCATTAACTTCCAACAAAGTGTATTTCGAAGAGCGTACATAGATAATCAAGGAATACAAAATGACAAAACATTTTTGAAACACACAATTGGTATGCGCTACAATCTACAGACTTAGGAAGTTCCGCCGTTGTGGTCTATTGGCTTACGTACTTGGCTGCTGATCCGCATATCGCGTTATCGACTACCGGCGTCGGCGGCTGCATTTTTGATGGAGGCGAAAATGCTCTAAGCACGTGTGCTCAGATTTAGGTGCACGTTAAAGATCCCTAGGTAATCGAAATAGCGGAGTCATCTACTACGGCATCTCTCATAATCATGTGGTGGTTTCGGGACGTTAAACCCACATATGAATCAATACACTTTTAGATATGTTTGACAAGGCCCGAGAAAGAGATTGCTGACGCAGTTCAGCCCTCCCTTTGTCGCAATGTTTTTTGGCACTGCATTGCAACAAGTGTAGTCGCAAACAACTTTTTTATGATATCGTGACTGGTGGTAAAAGCAGAAATCAAATCACGCTGGAGATTATCGAAGGCAAAGAGGAGTTAAATATTAGGGCTGAACTAAATCAGCATTTCCTTTCTCTCTCTCAGGATTTGCCAAAAGACAATTGTCTTTTCTATTGTACACTTTCGCACATGGCAATTCTGGGCTTCAAATTCGTTTTGTCTGTTCGCATTTCACGAGTTTACATACGTATGCTCTTCGAAATACCTTTTGGTAGAAGTCAGCGCTTCTCTTGGTTTCTTCCCTTGTCCTGTGTCTCACAGTTTATAGGCGCTGCGCTATTGGTTACATATTACAAACACGCCCGACTTTATACTCTTCTCATGACACACATAACCTTGCAAGAAAAATAAAGATAACAGTGGTAGAGAACCAAAGTCTAGGTATAAATATATATAAAATGACGACGTAGTGTACTGACACCAACTTGTGTTTCAATTCTACGCACCGAAATCACCATATTAATATGAGGAATGTTGTAGTAGAGAATTGTGAAATTTTCGACCTTCCGATGTTACTGAACGTGAACCTAAATCTAAGTGCCTCAGCCTATAGCGTGTCACCTTCATTGGAATGCGGTCATCGCAGCCTGAGTTTCTTTCACGATGTAATACAACACCGATATTTAAACGAAGAAACCGCAAAAAACTTACTAAGTGATTGCGCAGTTTTTAATTGGGTGAGAGCTTTTTCTGATGAATTCCGTCACATTGTAATTTGAGGGGTGTGCATGCACTTCACAATTTCAAATAGCATATCAAATAGTGTTCTATTTTGTTTCTGTATCCTCTAGAGAGGCAGAGTAAATTCAAGGTCATAGCTTCTAGGTAAAGTTTTCGAAATGCTTTTTCTGAGTTCAAAGGTGAAAAGTGTCTCGTAGTTTCCTAATTAATGGTTTTAGTTGGCCACACAACGTTGTCCATCATATTGGACACTCGTACTCTAGGAGGACTTTTTTGAGGAACAAAGAATCGGGCATATCTGAGACCAGCGAGTGGAAAAGACGTTTTGCAGGACAGATATTCTATTTTTCGGCTTCCAAACGACGAATAGTATTATTATTAGTAATTTTAGCATCACACAGCTTCTTGTGCAAAACTTTCAGCGTCTGCGTCATTGGTTGTGAGTGAAAACTCTTGCTGTTAATGACCTGAAAAACGAGAAAAGTGTGAATAAACTAACTATTAAATTTTTTGGCTCTAGTGAGCATTGTACTCGGGCCATTTGCGCGGTAAGCCGGTGTTATACCACATTAAAAAACAAAAAGCACCAAGCGTCTGCTTAGATACACAGTGAAAAGAGCTTACTTAGCTTCGAAATAACCTTGATGATTTTCAAACACATGACTCCGGTATGCAGGCTTTACATTACAAGATGTTATATCAAAGTAATATTGCTAGGTAAGAGCTTACATCGCCAGCAAGTATTAGAACAGGAAATTTTTACTACATCCTGGTAAGTAGCTGACCTCCTACTACAAAGACACACAAAGTACGACACATATTCCCTTAAAGGCTCCCTGTAACACTTTACGACAATATCGTTAGGCACAGAATCATCTGCAGCAATTATTCATGAGACAAATGAAACAAGAATGTTGGAGTCTATGCCCGGTAAGTCAAAATATGAGTCTTCGAAGATCAAAACTCGAGCAGACGACGACAAGAAATGTTCTCTTTCGCATTTCATTCGCCTGCTGACCTCAAAGACCACTTCAAGTCATAGCGGGCATCTCATAAAAGCCTGTAGAAATGTCACCACATGGTGGCCTTCACACAATACCTCGCTACCACTCTCTATAACGGCGTCTTTAGAATAGTTACAAAGAACCACATGCGTCGGGTAGCGGACGCTCCCACGGTCACATAATGTAAGATAATACACACATACACTTTGGGGGGGGGGGCACTTGTCGGCTTGCATGCAAGAGGAGTTTTACGAAAACAATGGCGTTTGCCGCATGTCGCATTCTTGGCTCGCTAAAACGCGGTATGAGGGGGGGGGGGATGTTCGCCACTTTGGATTTGCGGCCCACGTATAATCAACTTCCACTGGATGACGAGGAACGAACAAAATGTTGTAGGCCCGTGTACTCAGATTTGGGTGCACGTTAAAGAACCCCAGGTGGTCAAAATTTCCGGAGCCCTCCACTACGGCGTCTCTCATAACCGAATGGTGGTTTTGGGACGTTAAACCTCACAAATAAATCAATCAATCAGGAACGAACAATGGCTGTGTTGAACACACAAAAGGCGCTGTTTGCATACAACCGCCTTACTTTCGGCATCGCATCTGCTCCGGCTTTGTTGCAGCGGTGCCTAGAATTCATTCTGCAAGGCCTGCCTCGCGTAAATTGTACTTGGATCACCTCTTCATAGCGGAAAAGCACAACGACGACTTCACTCTGCGGCGAGTCTCTGAGCGGCTACGGGACAATGAACTGAGGTTGAACCTTGACAAATGCTGATTCCGCGTAAAGCAAATGTCGTTCTTGGGCCACAAGATAAATGCAAAGGGTCTCCACCACCCCAAAAATAAGGAAGCCATCACCATTGCACGAAGACCAGAGATGGTGAGCCAGCTGAAATCATTTTTGGAATTGATCACATATTACGCCGAGTGTTTGCCTATCGTTGTCACCACGTTAGATCCACTCTATTGGCTGCTGGTTAAAGCAGTACGATCATATTGGAGAGTCGAGCACGATGGAGCCTTCAAGGCAGCTAAGGGCGCTATGGTGGTAGCGGAACTTCTCGTACACTATGACCCCGAAAAGCTGTTGCGGCTTGAATGCGATGCGTCACCGAGTGTGGTCGGCGCGGTGCTGTCACACCGAATTGGGAACCACAATTATGCCATATCTTTCTGCTCGAAAACCTTGTTAGCTGCTGAGCGACATTACTTGCAGTTAAAAAAGAAGCATTGGCCTTGGTGTTCAGCGTTATCAAGTTTCAAAATTACTTGTTGGCAAAGCATCTTACTCTGGTTCCAGATCACAAGCCCCTAACGCGACTGTTTCTTCCGGGGAGGCCAATTCCGCAATAGCAGCAGCGAGAATACAATGGTGGGCATTGCTACTCTCGGCTCAAATAATATGACCTTTAATACTGCCACGGGCAGCTAAATGCTAACGTAGACGCTCTCAGTCGCATACCATTGCCTTGCTTGGAGTATCGAAGAGGGCAGGAACCTATCAAAAGCGTGCTATACACACAGGGCCTAACTTTTATGGCTCTTTGCGCTCAGGAAGTAATAGATATGAGCCAAATGGCCGATAAGCTTCATAAAATTGGGGTATGGATGACGCGTGGCTGGCCAAGGCGCTTATCTGCAGCACAGCAAGTCCGTCCTTTTTCGCCGTGACGAGCTCACAACTAGTCAGAATCTGATTTACCGGGGCCATCGAGTAGTGTTGCCCGAGGTGACGTGACAGGGCTTGCTGAGGGAACTGCAAGAGTCACCCCAGGATCAGCGTGATGAAGCACACTGTGAACTTTTTGGGTTCCCGGCTTAGACAGGGACATTGAACGGTTGGTTCAAAGTTGCCCTCAGTGCATACAATGCTGGCACATGCCTGCAGCAGAAGTTCCGACTCCTTGGTCGGTGAGCAACAAACTATGGTACAGGTTAGACATGGATTTTGCGGGCCCCATCAATGGCTTTCAAGTTTTTGTGTTGTTGGAAGCCGAGACCGAATAGATCGAGGCCATAACTTTGAAGAGCGCCACAGTGAACACCACCATACACGTACTCAAAGCGATTTTTGCACGTTTTGGCCTCCCCCACTGATTGGTATCAGATAACAGACCACAGTTTTCAAGTGTAACCAGGTGAATTTTCTTGCAGGGTAGCCACGTGAAACACGTAAGAACAGCCCCGTACTATCCGCAGTCAAATAGTTTGGCGAAACGTGCCACGCGGACCATAAAGAAATGGCTTCAAAAGAATTTGACAAGTACGTTACAAGAACGAGTGATTGAGTTCTTATCACATTACAGAAAAACCCGTTTTGAAGGAGGAAAATTGCCAGCAGAACTGCTGTTGGGCTTTTGTCCCCGACCCAGGCTGACTTCCTCACTTACAGACGAAAAGTTGGCCCAAAATTATGGGGCCAGCGATCTTGCGCAAGCAAAACCAAAAGCCCAGTCGCGGTTCCAACCCCGAAGACATGTCTGCTCAGAGATGAATGCCGGCGACACTAGTGTCCACG